TAAGTACAGACTTTCAGCTACTGCGAAAGCTTACCACAGGCGATTAAATAGCGCACCTCATGATCATACAGGAACTCTTGTCAAGCACTTCACATTCCAAAGAGCATAAGCAAGCGGGTTCTTTTAGAGAAATCCCGATGCTTTAGGATCATATCGAAGTTTGTGCGTAGTTTGTGCGTTTTTTTTGGATCTCATGTCACAAGCTCCTTCCACAAATCTTAAATAGGTACAAGTAGTACAAGTGCAGTGGAGAGTGCACAAGGTGTAGTAGCCTAAAGCCTATAGCCGAATCATGTCCCCTAGTCGCCTTCGAGTTCAAAGTGAGAAAAGGAAGAGCGGTTTTCTACGATCTCACTCAACACCTACTAAACCATAAACCGACCGAAGCTCGAAGTAGCATCTGCACTGCGATGCAAATCATTCTCGTTGCCAGAAATGAGGTATCAGAATGGATGCATATTCTTTGTTCGAAAGGCTACGAGCCTAGAGGAGAGCCGTCGTTTAATGATCATCGGTGTCGGATTTGACAGGCTCCTTTTTCTCTTTCAAGCCATTCCACACGTGATTACCTGCTATGTGGTCCCTACGCCATAATGTTTCAATGTACATTCCGTAGAAGTTCCCGCCTTAAAGGCAGCGATTACGACGAACAGGGAGCACATCAATGAAGCATATGCACCACACGAATCAGTTACTTGGCTGCCAGGGAAGCGAGATGTAGCGCTTTCACAACGAAAGGTGCGCTGGTTGCTGAGCAGGACTTCGAAAGCGCTCCGCCCGCAGAAGCCTCTAATTTACTTCGATGATTTGGACGAGCTGCCTGGCCAACAGCGGCGTAGTTTGACGGATGTTCTCACCTCTTGCTCACCTGCAATAATTTGACGGACAAAAAAAATACGATCCCCGTAGGCACCTCGGAATCGAACTCAATGCCTTTTTCAGCCCGTAACTGCCAGCCTTCTGAGTGTGGCCACTTAACAGTGGCCACACTTCGGTCGTTCTAGGTAACACGACATGATAGTGATGGTGGTGATAATACTGCATGTGCTAGGAATGGAGTAGGCCAAAAAGATGATTAAAATACGAACGAGCTTTTGGGATAACGTAATAGTAGATCTTAATTGACTTGGAGAAAGAAGGCTTTCATTCTGAAGAATTTCAGGAAAATCCATATGAGCTACAACGTATCAATCTTGCAGAGTAAAGCGTTATTTACCGTTTCTTTTTGTATCTATTTCGAAGGAACTCATGGGAGTTTGAAGGTTGAAAACCTGCATTTCAGGAGGATGGCCTAAAAATCACAAAAGGTGAAAAAGGAACAACAGGACTATTTTTTCGGTAGAAGGTCTTTAGAAACAATTTCAGCAGTTTTGAAACCGCTAAACTTCTAGTTTCTGATTAGCCTCAGAAATTTGCAAAAGGAACTTATGAACGGTCAAATCTTAAATTTCGCGTGTTCTCAAAAATTGGACCACAAACCCCGAAAAAATGAAAAATGGGTGGTGCTTGTTCGAAAGTGCTAGTCTTCTAGCTTCTAATTAGCCTTGAACATCTGCAAAAAGTTGACGATGAAGAAAGTTATGAATGTTTGAATGTCGAAAACTCGCGTGTGCACAAAAACGGAACAACGGACGATTTTTCAATGATTGAACTTTTGCAACAGCTTGAATACCTTCTGGGAAGAAAACAAGATGAGACTGCAAGATTTTTATATCTCATTTCCTAAGAAATATATGGAAAAAGACATAAATTTGAATGAAGGGTTTTAATTAATACATTTATGTACTTCAAGATTAAGCTTTTCACTTTCTAAAAAAGGGAGAGTTGAAACTTCGGAGAAACTTTGGTAGTTTTATGAAAGTATTTATCTAGCGAGTACAAACGCAACTAGGTTTGTGCAAAATGTTGAGATTGCCTCTATTAAATGGGCAACTTTCCTGTAGCCTCGGTTCTCTGAGAGAGACAAGGTGCGCGACATACTTATTTCCCACTGCTCATCACCTTTTCCATGTCGATGACGACCCTTACATCGATGACGGGCGTAAATTATGTAAATAGACATCAACTGCTGATACAACGGAGTCCCACTGAGAGGGGGGGGGGTCGTAAAATTTTTAAAATCTGCGCAACGTACAGTTGACCGTGGATGGTACACGTGAGTTTGCTTAAACACCGAAGTGTGCCTTCAAACACTTCGCCCAAACTGTTTGAATTGCCTGGATTCACCGGGTGGGTTCTTGTGAAATATTGTCCGCGAGGAACTGTCCATCGCGTCTCCTGAAGGCATAGGACTTGGATTTTTCTGCGCGTCATCAGATCAGCAACCTCTCGGGACTTCCCAGTTAGCGATCCTACGTTCAGAGTCCCAATTCGAACTAGCTTCTTTGGCCGAGGCCGTTCACTCCTCGGTAGCCCTCGCATACTGACCACAGAACTCGGGCGGGGGTTCTGCGCGCCACTTCCGGGTGACGTCCTAGCTTTATCACTGATTCTTTCAACTTTTAGACATGTTGGTGTGACTGGGGTATTCATCAGCCGGCCTGTCAACCTGGGCCTGACGCTGGTACTAGAACCATTTTTGCAATTTTTGCAAGGCATGGTTAAGCCTCGGCAGGGATCGAACTCGCGGTTTTCAGAGGTGCAGACATGAGTCTAACCTCTTAACCACTCGGCCATCCCTGCCCCATTTATCTCACGCATTACAAAAATGACTCACTTCATGAGCCTCACTGAAAAACGAGAATGGAAATTCAGTCTTCAGTCATAATTCTATATTGTTCTAGTTAAATTATTTTGCAGCTGCGAGAAGAAGGTGTGGCTACAGTTTTCTTCAAATTCGGAGGAGATGATGGTGGCTCTATAAGCTATCCTCGAAGACTCGTCGGATCCTATGAAGATGTCATGGATATAACTATAACGGGATCTCGTTTGGTGTGTTTTAACCTATGATGCCTCCTTCATTATTACATCATTACATCCATGTTCTTTTCACACTTTTAATAAGCCTCCTTGTAGAGAATCACACAAAGCCTGAACGAAGTAGATGAGAAACTGGACAATTTGTATTTCCCGAACATGGGTGGTGGTGGAGCACCACCGCCACCACCCACCACCACCACCACCACCACCGCCAGTTGTACGGCCTCCGCCACCACCGCCACCACCGCCACCACCACCACGGCCTTCGAAACCAAGAGTACCAGCGCCGGCTGGATGTGGGCAGGTAGGATTTTATTGGCCAGACGACATTTTTGTGATTAGAATCTGGGACGGTAGTAAAAATGGCGCCCTAACCGCGCAATTTTCGCGACGAAGCTGGAGTGATCTAGGTAGTACAGACCTTACAATTTCCCTAGTGGTATCCCTCCTACTAGTCGGGCCAATCCCGGGGGTTTGCCTTCAAGCGCAATGGCAACAACATTTCAAAATAAGGCGCAGGAAACCAAAGGGGATATAGTCAGTAAAGGTAAATGGAGAGTTGGAAAAACCTCTAGAGAAGTGTCAAAACGGAGATATGCGCGTTAACACCATCTCTCTCTAAACAGGCTCACTCAAGCTGCGGACAACGCCGAATTCTAGCCTCCTCTCTTCTCTCCATGCTCGAAACAAACAGGTTCAGCAGCTATGTGCAAGCATATGTAACCACGGCGTTTACATCTAGGCTAGCGTATAGTCTACAGAATAAGTAAAAAGAACTCGGGAAGAAGCCGCGCATGCGCTAGAAAAAGGGATGATAAGGGTGAGACGCGGTAACGCGTCTCAATGTCCAACGAGGTGCGCAAAGTGAGACGCGCACCGCGTCTCAATTGTCGTCAATATGTTAAGGAGAGAGGAGGAATTTGAGTATTAGAAAGCTTGGTACGAGCTATACTACGAAGGAGTGGAACTTCAAATGCGGTCACGAATTTCAAGTGCGAACGCGGGCTGTGAGGAGCAAAAGCGCTTTACACGAATCTATAAGCGCTAAGTAGCTATTGTGCCAGCGCAATTTCGATGTTTCGGTTCAAAGTTGAGTCCAGTAAAGCGCAATAATATGAAAGGATCAACTTTCCAAAAAGGAAAGGTCTTTTCCTGAAAAAAAAAACAGCTCGGAGGAGCTAATTTTAAGGGCTGCTTCAGTACATATGAGAAGGCCCAAAAATACAGTTTATCGAGATACTCTGATCTTTGCATGAGTTTCTGAACGAAGCTAATGACTATTGAAATGTCAAACGCTTAGAAAAAGAAAACTGGAACTTTAGAGAACGGAAGCGCAGATAGGAATTTCATAAGCAAGCTGAGATATGAACAGAGTTCGCCCCTGGTGAGATGAGCCCCACATCTCTCTCCTGCCGTCCAACTGTGCTATAGGTGACACCAGCGGAGCACCGTTACACCTCAGTTCAGCTTCTGATAGTGCGCTTACCATAACAATTAGAAACAGAACAGGCAAGTGGGAGACTTTTTGTAGTTTTTTCAGAAGGGTCCAAAT